TACTGACACTCCCCCCCAGGCCAGACCTCCTCCTCCTTCCCTTCCCCCACTTCCCGCTCCTGCTCCCCCTTGTCCTCCACGCCTTTCTTCCTCCGGGGCTGCTGCTCCCCACTCCCGAGAGGCCCCCACTCTTGTGTCTCCAGTTCCTGCCCCCCACCTTACACCACATGCCTCAGATCCCCCAAGTCTTCCAAGCCAGCAACCCACAGCAACCTGTGAGAGGCTCCCCTGCCCCACCCCAGGCCTGGGCCACCTCAGGGAGGAGGAGGTGGTAAAGCTGGGGACTGCCCCCAGCCCCTTGCAACAGACCTCTGCCCCTCCACTGCCCATCAAGAAGGTCCTGCCGGCCGCACCTCCCCGACGGCGCCTGTCCGAGAGGGTCTCTCTTGAAGAGCTTCCTCCCTCGAGGAAGGCAGCAGAGGAGGACCGGCCAGGCCCCTCTAGGGCTACCTCGGTCAGCCTGCCTCTCCAGGGGACCTCAGACAGTTCTGGGGACAGGCCACAGAGGATCACGGAGGCAGGCCAGGAAGCAGAGGTCAAAGCCAGTGGCCTGGGCAGTATGCGGGAGCCACCAAAAAAGAACAAGCAGCCCCCAGTGCCGCCCCCCAGGAAGAAGCGCATCTCCCGGCAGCTGGCCTCTGTCCTCCCAAGCCCCTTGGAAAGCGTTGAGCTCTCCACAAAGGAAGTAGTCCCTGAGAGACCCCCAGTGGGGCCCCCCAGGGAAGGCCCAAGCCCTGCTTCTCAAGCTGGTGCCCGTCCCCACAGCTCCCCAGAGTTCAAAGGCTCCCTGGCTTCCCTCTCGGACAGCCTGGGTGTGCCCACCTCTGCCACAGACCAAGACTCATACTCAACCAGCAGCACAGAGGAAGAGGTGGAGCAGCAGTTCAGCAGCCCCAGTGTGAAGAATAAGCCCGCCATGATCCTGGACAAGGCACGGCACCGGCTGAGCTTTGTGAACTTCACCAACGTCTTCCACGCCTTCCTCTCCAACAACCGCAAGCTGTACAAGAGAGTGGTGGAGTTGGCACAAGACAAGAGCTCGTACTTCGGCCGCCTGGTGCAGGATTACAAGGTGTACAGTTTGGAGATGATGACGCACCAGGCGTCCAGCACTGAGATGTTGCAGGAAATCCGCACCATGATGACCCAACTCAAGAGTTACCTCCTGCAGAGCACTGAGCTCAAGGCCTTAGTGGACCCCACTCTGCACGCGGAGGAGGAGCTCGGTCAGTGCCCTGGTAGGACTGGGAATGGCTCTGAGGGAGGGAAGGACCGAGGGTGCCACTCAGGACAGGAGTCCCTACAGTGCACGTGCTGGTACCTCACCCACATCTCCTTCCCACTGCAGCTCTAAGTGCTGGAGGCTAGCAGCTCAGAGCTGCCCCTTAGCTGCAGACTTGACCTTGGTCTTGTAGGATCCATGTTGCTTACCCTCCCTGCCTTGACTGACAGCTCTCAGCCAGTTTCTCTTGGCCGTGAGGAACAGAAGGCCACCTGCCTGCAGGTGGGACCCACTGTGTGATACTCCAGAGCTCCCCCTGGGATCATGCTGTGGTTGCCTGGAATCTAGTCCTGGCTCCAGCCCTTCCCTAGCCCCATCCTACCGCCTCACTCATTTCTTCTTACGTGGTGGTGGTGTGCCGTGGAGTCAGTTTCAAATCATAGCGACCTTATATAGGGTTTCAGAGGCTGTATATTTTTACGGAAGCAGAGAGCCTCATCTTTCTCCCATGGAACTGCTGGTAGTTCCAAACTGCTGACCTTGAGGTTAACAGCCTGGCTTGTAACCACTACACAACCAGAGCTTCTTTTAAGAATTCTCAAATCAGTGGTGTATGCCAAATCCCTGCCTCTAACTGTCCTGGTGTGGCGCTGTGGGTTAATGCGTCAGACTGCAAAGTCGTTTGAACTGCAAGGTCAGTGGTTCAAGCTCACCAGCTTCTCCTTGGAAACCCTATACAGGGTCGCTATGGGTCGGAATCGACTCAAACACACACTGCCCCAGCTGCCCACTTGAGAAAGCATTGAATGGCTTCTGAACCAATTGAAAAGAAGTACCAGCTCATGCCCTCAAGTGCCACCTCCCCTGGAAGCCCCCAGCCCTCCCCACCAAATTCAACATCCAAAGGCTCAGTGTCCCAGGAAAGGAGGTTTGGAGCACTGCAGCTCTTCAGACTCACTGTGAATGGTTCTTAAAAAGAGAGATTTCCCCGGTGGAGTTTGACTGGGAACTCCTGAAAATGACACTGTTTACAAGGCCTCTGGAGTTTCTGCAGTGATGGGTGGGGGGTGAAGGGGGTTGAAAATCAAGGTGGATCTCAGGAGGCCAGCTCTGTGTGTGTGTGTACGTGGGCCCCTGGGTTGTTGGGGGGGGGGGGGCATGAGCTGAGAGTGAAGGGGCTGCATGGGCAGGAAGCTCGGGGATGCAGGGATGGGATGGCATGGACTGAGCCCCCCACCCAGGGCAGCCCAGGGCTCATCTCCCACCAGTGACTGGGAGCTTGAGGATTCTGCCCTGAGGATCCAGGTCTGAGCAGGGAGTCAGATGACACAGCAGACTCAGCCTACAGTGACTGAGACTCTCAAGAAGCCCACATGGGCATCTGTCCTAGTGGGATTGGGTGGTGACAAGCCCAAGAATGAGTGGTGGAGTGAGGGGGCATGGAGTGAAGGGGAAAGTGGTCGGAAGTGAGGTCAAGGAGTCTCTGGGGTAGCATGGTTATCGAGTGCTCTGTGGCGCTGTGGGTTAATGTGCCAGACTGCAAAGCCATTTGAACCGCAAGGTCAGCGGTTCAAGCTCACCAGCTGCTCCTTGGAAACCTTATACAGGGTCGCTATGGGTCGGAACTGACTTGATAGCATTCACAACAACTACAATTGTGACAGAAACAACACACATGAGGGACATAATTTCTCACATTCAGGAGGCAAGAAGTCCAGATCAGAGCACGGGTTCTGGGGAAGGTCTCTGTCTCTCTCTTTGGGTGTCTTTTTTCTCTCTCTTTCTCCCTCTGCCTCTTTTTTCTCTCTCCTCTCTCTCTTTTCTCTATCTTTTTCTCATCTCTCTTTGTCTCTCTTTCTTTCTCTTTTTCTGTGTTTTTTTCTGTCTCTTTTTTCTCTCTCTCAGTCTCTCTTGTCTCTCTCTGCCACTCTTTGTCTCTTTTCTGTCTCTCTTTTCTCTTTTTTTCTCTCTCTCTGTCTCTCTCTCTCTCTCTGTCTCTCTCTCTCTGTGTCTCTGTCTCTCTCTGTCTTTTTGTTTATCTCTGCTTCTCTCTCTGTCTCTCTTTCCCTCTCTGTCTCGGTCTCTGGGGAAAGCTCCTTGTCTCAGCTTCCTTAGCACTGACGGTCCTCTGTTCCTTCAGGATTCCTACGTGGCATCGTCTTTCTCCCATTCCTGTTTGCTCATCCTGATGTCTCATTGGCTCTTTCTGTTTCTCCAGGGTCTTTAGGTTTAAGACGCGTCCTTCACTGGCGTGGCCTCGTTCACATAATGAAGAACGGCCTCTTCCCACACTAACACTTATTTTGGAGGGGACACAATTCATTCCATAACAGGGAGGCAGGCCTGTGTAAGCCTCCAAAGACCGTGGCTTTTATTCTGAGTGAGATTAGGTGGTGGGTGGGGGGTCAGAGGTGACCCCTGTTCAGCCATAGTAACACTTCCTGATTCTCTCTGGCCACTGTGCCGAGTCGGGGCAGAGAACAATTGCGTTCTCAGCAGTCATCCAGGCCAGCGATAGTGCGCTGGGACGGGTGGAGGTCACGGAGGGGTCTGAGGTGGTGTCCAGTTCTGGGTCTGTTGTGAAGGTGGGGTTTACAGCATCTGCTGGGAGACTGGGCATGGGGACAGAGAGGTACAAGTGTTCTATCAGAACCCCTGAAAGGGTACAGTGGGTGGGAGGGCTTGGGATGTCTGTGGGTGCGGAGGTTTGGTGGGAACTGGGGAAAAGCCCAGGCGACTCGTTTGGGCCCATTGGATGCTCAGTGGATGCCGCCTTTAGTTCGGGGGGGTGGGGGGGCAGTGTGCGCTAAAGAGGCTTCAGCCTGGTGAGCTCATTGGGGTCTGAGGGTGGGGAGCGCATGGAGAAAGTGGAAAGGCATGTGGAAGAGTGACCTACTGGAAGCTGAAGTCAGCCCTACCTTCCAGCATATAGCTGGGGCCTAGCAGAGCAGAGAGAAGTTACCAAGATCTGGGGAGGGGGTGGAAGGACTTCATGGGGAAAGATGGCACTGTGCACATGGATGGGGGCAGGGCTTGGACCTGTCATGAGGAGCCAAAGATTTCCTAGAGGTGACGGAATTGTGTCATGGGGAAGGCGGGAGACCAATCAGGAGACTGTCCCGGAGGCCTACCCCTGGACAACAGAGACCCCATACAAACCAGACCCATGGTGGGTGGTGCAGGAAGGACCCCAGCCCCAGTGTAGGCTAGCCTCCAAGTATCAGTAAAGAGGCTAACTTGGTTCCAGGTCCCTGGATACCAAGAAGGGCCAGACTCAGAGCCCAGGCAGGCAGGAGACATGGCACGGTGTTACCAGAGCTGTGACAAGCACGGCCGTGGAACAGGGAGAGGTTGGGAGATGGTGCTCTGCACAGTTCAGCCAAACTCCCTGGCCTTGGTCTACTGTGATGCTGAAGACATCCCAGTATTTTAGTTGCCTAGTGCTGTACCCCAGATACCACAAGTTGGCTTTGAAGAGCACATACTCTCAGTTCTGGAGGCCACAAGTCTAAATCAGGATCTTGGCCCTGTCGAGATTCCCTTCATCCTCCTTGATTCTTTGTAGATGAGCTTCACATGGTCTGTCTTCTGTTTACGTACCTAGTCTGCTCTTTATATAACTCAGATGTGCTTAGGTTGACAACCTGCCTTCCGTTGGTATGGTCTAATTAACGTAACAAAGAAAACCTTTCCAACCGGAATCACTTCCCTCGGTATAATGTTGTTAGATGCCGTCCAGTCAGTTCCAGCTCATAGCAACCCCGTGTACAGCAGAACAAAATGCTGCTGGATCCTACACAATCCTCACAACGGTTCGTATACTTCAGCCCACTGTTGCAGCTACTGTGTCAATTCATCCTGTTAGGGGTCTTCCTCTATCACTGACCTTGTACTTTACCAAGCATGATGACCTTCTCCAAGGACTGGTCCCTCCTGATACTGCGTCTAAAGTACATGAGACAAAATCTTTCCATCCTGGCTTCTAAAGAGCATTCTGGCTGTACTTCTTCCAAGATTTGTTTTCTCTTCTGGGAGTTATCTACAGGTATGTTGTTCTTAAGTGCCGTCGAGTCGGTTCCGACTCAGCGATGCTGTATAGGGTTTCCAAAGAGCAGCTGGTAGGTTTGAACTGCTGACCTTGTGGTTCAAAATCCAGTGCTCATCCTACAGCGACTCACCTGGAGTCCTTCTACAGATATTGTTGTTGTTGAGTGCCATCGAGTCAGTTCTGGCCCATGGTGACCCTGTGGTTACTGTTTCAACACATACTTTGGGGAACAGAGTTCAATTGTGATTTAACTGGCCAGAATCACACTGAGAGCAGATGGTGGAACTGCAGTTTGAGCTCAGAGATTCTGACTCTGTCCACAAATTTACCTTTCTGCTGCTCTGCCTTACACTTTGACCTCTGCCCATGTGCCCAAGTACTTACCAGAAGAAGGTACACCACAGAACTCTGATCTGAGTTTATCAGGGATAATCTGAGTTTATCAGGGAGCGGATAATCTGAGTTTATCAGGGATGATCTGAGTTTATCAGGGATGATCTGAGTTTATCAGGGATAATCTAAGTTTATCAGGGATAATCTAAGTTTATCAGGGAGCGGATGATCTGAGTTTATCAGGGAGCGAAGGCACAGGGAGCAGTTTGAACCAAACCAAGGACTCCGTGGGGCAGAGAGGGTCAGTCTCTGGAGAGAGGGGGCAGCTGCAGGCGACCAGAGGCCCTCAGAGACTCGGAGAGTAGGGGCTGCAGTCCTCTCGTGCTACAGATGAGGAAGCAAGTCCCAAAGGGAAGTGACTTGGCCAAGGTCATGCAAGAACCAGGGTCAGTTACTGGGCTGACACAGATCCCTGCCCCCACATCACTGTACCACTAGCTGCCACAGGCTCAGAGGATGTAAGGCAGCCTAGATGGAGGGGAAGAATTGGGGTGAACTGCTGAAGCAGCTGGAAAAGCAGAGGGAAGGAGGAGGTGGTAAGATGAGGATCTGAGAGATCAAGACTGGCCCTAAACCCTGGGAAATTATCTGGGTGTCAACCAGAACTAAACAGCTCAGTATCATCATGCTATCCCAACAGGGACAGGGCTTAGGGTGTCCCCTTGCCAGACCCAGAGACTGCATCCTCCCCTTGGAGACAAGTGTGTGGGTTCAAATCCCCATCCAGCCCCCAGCTAGCTATGTAATTCTACACACACACACACACACATCAGTCTCAGTAGGTCCTGTCTACCCAAACCCACTTCCACTGAGCCAGTTCCCACTCATAGTGACCCCCACAGGACAGAACAGAACTGCCCCATAGGGTCTCCAAAGCTGTCATTGTTACAGAAGCAGACTGCCACAACTTCTTCCTGCGAACCGGCTTGTGGGTTTGAACCACCAACCTTTCATTTAGCGGTCAAGTGCTTAGCCCACTGTGTCACCAGGACTCCTTACTAGGTCCTGTAGGGGAACAGACAACATGCATGCTGCGGGGTTGTTGTGAAGGCAACACTCACTAGCCCCCATTTCACTAGATTGTCAGGGATGAGCAGCAATTAGATAAGATGACGTTTGAATGGCGAAGGAACAAGCCACGTGGGGATCTGTGTGGGGACTGACTGTTCCATGCAAAGCAAGTGCAAAGGTCCTGAGGCAGGTGCTGTCTGGCAGGCTGGAGGAATGGAAAGCTGGTCAGAGTGGCTGGAATAAGGTGAACATACAGAGCGTATAAGGCAATGAATCAGAGAGGTCATGGGGCTAGGTCCAGAGGTCCTTCTAGGTATGGGGGTGGCCAGCTTTTACTGTGAATGAGATGGAAGCTATGTGGCGATTCTAAGCAGAGGAGTGATGGGACCTAACACGTTGTAACAGGACAACGCTGGCTGCTGTGATAAGAACGGACAACTAAGGGCCAGGGTAAGAGGCAAGAGATGGTGACAACCCAGAGTTAAACAATAGTCTGGAATTGGTGAGGAATTGGTTTCTGGGTAGAGTGGATTTTGAGTCCAGAGCCAAGTGAATTTGGAAGAATTGAAAGAAAGAGAACCATAAAGAATATGTGTCTACCAAACATTTAGTGGGCACCCAGGCCCTCCATCTGCAGCTGCCCAGGTTGCACACTGCACAACTCCAGTGTAAATGGTTCCGTGTGGACTTCTGTGCTGAGACAGCGCTGTGAGGGTGAAGGCGTTAGGGACAATGGCCAGTTAGCGCCACTCCCCGAGGTGGTTGTGATAGTTTCTTTGCAGTGTGGTTTTCTGTTGAGTTTGGGACATTGCCTCATATGTCAGAGCCATGTGATGTGCCTGCCGGGACCGGGAGTATGTTTGCAGGGACAGGGGGGAGTGTCTCAGGATCAGTGGCAGAATCCCCACAGCTGGCTTCCTTACCTCCCGCTCTCACCCACCTTACAGAAGCGATCGTGGAGTCTGCCTTGTACAAGTGTGTCCTGAAGCCCCTCAAGGAAGCCATCAACTCCTGTCTGCTGGAGATACACAGTAAGGATGGTTCTCTGCAGCAGCTCAAGGAGAACCAGCTGGTGATCCTGGCCACCACCACCACTGACCTGGGTGTGACCACCAGCGTGCCCGAAGTGCCCATCATGGAGAAGATTCTGCAGAAGTTCACCAGCATGCACAGGGCCTACTCGCCCGAGAAAAAGATTGCCATCCTGCTTAAGACCTGCAAACTCATCTATGACTCCATGGCCCTCGGCAACCCAGGTAGGTGGGCTACCACATTGGGGCTGGCTAGGGGCTCTCTCTAGGCCCCTTGAGCCATGGTGTTGGGTAGGTCTCTGGAGCTCTTGAAGACCCTAGCACTAGAGTAATCTTCAGATGCCCATTGGGGAAAGGATGGTCATGGGTAGGTTAGGAGTTCTGGGCACCTCCCAGAAGTTAGTGCAGACCAGGGAGGTTGTGCTTGTCGGCCACATTGGAGGCAAGCAAGGAAGGCTGCTCACACTGGCTTTGTGTGAATGAGGAAAAGGTGCCTACATAAGTTGACAACTCACAATTCCACGGTGGACGGACAATTATGCAATCTGATTCAGGTGTGCCCAAGCTTGGCTGGGCTCACTGAGAGATGGGTTGTCACTGGGGGTTTGATTGGAGACCGGCTGGTCTGGGATGGTCTTGCTTGGACATTGAATGGTTGATTAATGATTGCCTGGTCTGGGGTTGGGCGGAACTGCCCCATGTGTGTCTCATCCTCCAGTCGGCTGGCCCGGGCTTGTGTCCATGGCAGTAGCAGGGATCTTAAGAGCAATCAAAGCCCACAGGCCTCTCTTGAAGCCTAGGCTGAATGACCATAATGTCACTTTGACCCATTTCACTGAGCAAACAAATCACCAGGTCAAATGCAAGGAGTGAGGAATAGACTCCTTGGTTGGGAAGAGTCACAAAACCACATTGCAAGGGGTTTGGCTACTGAGTAGGGAGTCATTTCTATCCATTTAGCACATCCTCCAGGTAGACAGGAATAGGTATCACTGGCTAGATGTCATCCCCAATCATCAGTTCAGTCCTTGTGCAGTAAGCAACCTGTGCAACTGTTCATGGCAGCCTGGTAATGGAAGAGTAGAAGGATTGGTCATTCTGAAGCCACACAGACCAGGACGCAAATTCTTGGTCCATCATTTGCTTCTTGTGTGACCTTAGATGACTGGTTTAGCCCCTGAGAAAGCTGCTTTGCAGACAGGGGAAACTAAGACCTCACATGGCTCTGAAGCCATACTCTGTCACTTGTGACTTAGAAACCGTGGGTATAAAATGTCGATCTCAATGCCCAGCACTCAGCAGCCTCTATAAACTGGGGCTATTTTAGGAGATGTCCTCTCTGTGGCCCTTGGACAAGGGCAGACAGTTTGCTACGGGACACAGTATGTAGTTCTTTGTTTGTGACTCAGAGAAACACACAATGTCCCCTCATCCTAGTAAAGCTTTCCTCGGGTCTGCTATAGCCACATTCAGACTGGTGTTTCTGAACTCTGTGGGTACTCTGTGGGTACAACCAAGAACCCTGGTGGCACTGTGGGTTAGCTGTTGGGCTAAAGTTGGCAGTTCAAACCCACCAGTCACTCTGAGGGAGAAAGATAAGGTTGTCCGTTTTCATAAAAACTTGCTATATCAGAAACTGGAGCCACTGGGAGTCAGAATAAACTCAACTGTGGTTTGTTTTTTGCGGTGATGGTGCACGCTGAGAGACAGAAAAGTGGGTATGAGATGGTCAGGGGTTGGAGACATTGCTTACGGGGTGCAGGGTGATGGCGATGATGGTCACATAACCTTGTAAATGTAATTAATCTCACTGAATTGTACACATAAAGAGGATTAAAAGAGCAAATTTATGTTATAAATAGGCAGTTGTGTTTTTGCTGTTGTTAAGTGCCATCGAGTCAATTCTGACTCATAGTGACCCTGTATAGGGTTTCCGAGGAGCAGCTGATGAGTTTGAACCGCTGTCCTTGTAGTTCAAGATGGCCTCGCATTCCAGCGCATTAACCCATAGCACCACACCAGGACTCCGGAATAGCATCATGAACAAGTGTGATGCATTGTGGGAATGACCAACCTGGGATACAGGAGCATGAAGTGAGCACGGACTAATGAAAAAAATGAGCCCACAGACTTGCTCCTCATGGGACTGCTGCAAACCTTCAATTGGTAAAAAAAATACGAAGAAAGGAAAACACAATAAAGCACTGGACCACAAGGTCAGGTTGAACTGCAAGGTCCGCGGTTCAAATCCACCAGCCACTCCTTGGAAACCCTATACAGGGTAACTATGAGTCGGAATTGACTCAATGGCACATATAGTTTCAACATAACCTTTGTGTGTACCAGGGGAAAAAAAATAGTGTTGGCCTGATTTACTGTGATACACTATCTCTGAAGTTTGCCTACATATTTTGTTGTTGTTGTTGTTAAGTGCTCTCAGGTCAGTTCTGACCCATAGCAACCCTGTATAGGGTGTCTGAGGAGAGACTGGTGAGCTTGAACCATCCAGCTTGTGGTTCATACTGACTTTGCAGTGTAGTGCATTAACCCACAGCGCCACACCAGGACTCCTGCATGATTTACTGCCATTTAAAAAAAGGGAGGAAAAAAAAGTTGGCTGAGAGCAGGGACATGGGATTTTGAGGCAGGCGTAAGGGGAAAGAAAGACAGTAAGTAGTATGCCTGCCTGGGGCAGCCTGGGAAAGAGCAAGGGGTGGGCAGAACAAGGGTCCTACCATTCCCCACCCTCAGTGAGAAGAGCTGGAACCTCCGCTGATTCAGGCACAGTGCCCCAAGCTCTGAGGCAGGCCAGTGTGACAGCCTCCTGCCAGGACCAGATGGGGTTCTCATCAGGGAACACACATCTGGATGAGCTCTGGACTGGGAATCCAGAGCCTCCTACTCTCACCTCTGCCCCCTGGCAGGCCAGGGCTGCCAACCTCAGAGCCTCAGCTTCTTCCCCTGGAGAAAGCAGGTATGCTGACAGGGACAGGGTCTTGTGGGGTTCATTTGGCAGACCTGAGTGTGAACCCCAGCTTTGCTGACTTCACTGGGCCGGTGTATAAAATGGGGATAAGAGATCTGCTTCTCGGGGTCCCCTGGAAAGTACCCAGAGAGTCACTTAGCATCCTGAGCCTCCGTGTTCTCCTTTATAAACAAGGTTAGGAATGCCTCTCTCAGGACCCAGGGCCATTGTAAAGATCAGATACCTCGGGGTGCTTGTGTTAACTCTTTCATAACCCATCCTACAGATAACAGAACTTTAAAACACTCAACGATTTAACATGCATTCGATTGTTATTAAGTGCCTTTGAGTTGGTTTCGATTCATAGCCACCCGGTATAGGGTTTCCGAGGAGCAGCTGGTGGATTTGAACTGTCGACCTTGTGGTTCACAGTCCAGTGCTGATCTTACAGTGCCAAGGGGGGGAACCATTGTGTCTACAAAAATCTTACAAAATAATAATAATTTAGTAATGAAAGTGATTTAATACGGGATGTTATGGTGCAGGACTGGCTGCCTCCCCACCACATCCCCAGAGATATGGAGGCTGAATCTGCTCACTGGTTTCCAAGCTAGGTTCCATGAGGCACCCCAGCCACCACCAAAGGTTCCCAGATCAGTCTGAGCCTCACACTGTTCTCACCCTTACCGATTTAATACAAGGGGTTCCACGTGGGAGTTTGTTTGAAACAAAGAGTTCTGCTGCTAAATTTGGTGGTGTTGTCAGTATAACCATTTGAAAACAATTTTCAATTTTCAGACTTCAAAAAGTTGAAAGAATCACAGTAGTACATGGAAACCATGGTACCTACATGTGCTTTATGTATTGTTAAGTTGTGTATAACCTATTGTGTAATATACAAATCTGCTATATCATTTCTACTTCCTATCTTTAATCTCTCACTCTCTGTGCATTCTTTGGTTTGGTTTGGTTTCTGAATCATATCAGCCCTTAACTCTGAAATACTTTCTTAAAAATAGGAACATTCTCTTAGAAACCAGAGTGTATTTCATAAATTTATTGACCATTTCAGAAATTTGCATTGATACAATATTTTATCCAGTCTACCACCTGTATTGCAGACTGTTGAGTCATTTGATAAGGTTCTTTGCACAGTTCTCCCTCCTGCTCAGGATCTCAGGGCCCAGTCAAGACCCGGTACTATATTTAGTTCATTTAGTTATCTGATGTCTTTGTTGTTGATGATGATGATGTCATCATTAGTTGCCATCAATCAGTCCCCGACTCATAGCAACCCTACGCACTCCAAAACAAAACACTGCCTGGTCGTGTGCCATTTCCATGATCTGTTGTGATTGGCTGGTTTAGGGCAGTAGATTGCCAAGCCTTTCTTCCTGGTCTGCTTTAGTCTAGAAGCTCTGCTGAAAACCTGTTCAGCATCAGAGCAACACAGAAGGCGCCACCTGCAGATGGGTGGTGGTAGTGAATGAAGCCTAGATTTCCCTCATGGCTGGCGAGAGTTTTACCACCACCCATGTTGTTGTTGTTAAGACCATCAAGTTGGTTCTGACTCAGCGACCCTGTATAGGGTTTCCAAGGAGCAGCTGGTGGGTTTGAACTGCCAACCTTGGAGTCCAGTGCTTTATCCTACAGCACCACACCAGAATCTTTAATTTTGAATTTCTCCTCCGCCTTTCCCATCTTTCACGACACTGATATTTTTGAGGAACACAGGCTTTTGTCTCCACCCCCACCTTTTTTTTTTATTATTATTATGAAAGTTCCTCATTTTGTGTTTGTCCATGTTTCCTCCTGATTACATTGAGGTTATAACTGGCTCTTCACTTCTCTTCTGGCTCTGGTGGTCACTGATTTGAGGACTAAGCCTGCTCCCCCAGGTGGTCAATGCATAAGCCCCTTCAACAGACACCCTTAGGGCCTATGTGGTTGCTGGGCTGTAGACCAATAGTGTGACTTCCAGCCCTAGGGTGGAGCTCCAGCCTGGTCCCTCCTGTCCCTGCCACTGCCCTGGTGGCCACTGACCCACTTCAAGCAGAAGCAGTAACTCTCCCACCCCAGACCTGCTTCCAGACTCCCCACCTCTCATCTCCGGTGAAGATGCCCCACCCGCATGCGTCTCTCATTGCTGTTGAACCAGCAGCAGTACCTTCGCACCTGGCCCACGGCAAACAGGGATGTAATAAGCCTGGGCGGTAGTGTAGTGGTTACGAATCGGGCTGCAAACCGCAAGGTCAGCAGT